TGGAGGGGTGGGAATTGGGAGCCGCGACCCCAGTGCAAGCTGGCCGGGTGTGGGAGAGCGGGTGGGTGTTGCTGGCTGATCGTGCTGGGGGGTGCGGGGTGGGTGTGACACGCAGGTTCTTCCTCTCAGCTTTCCTTGCTTCTCCCCAGGGATTGGTATCCGAAACAGTTAGCTGGCACTAAAAGTGCTTCGGCGACGTGGATCTGTCACCGGTGGGTGATGCGCCCTGATGGTGGAAATCCCCAGTTGGGGTGGTAGAGACCTGCACGCTTTTAAAAGTAAAGGATATATCGCTCGGATCTTATAGCTGGGGCGTTGCCAGGCTGCTCAGCCAGAATTCACGCTGTGCCCGTTCTGGGCACTGGTACCTGCTGGTGTGTTTGGGACGGGCTTCGGTTGTCACTCGGATTATAGGAACGGTGATTGCTGAGTCTGCGGGTCCTGATACACGGGGTGGGACTTGCAGCCAGCTCCAGGTGGGAAACAGCATAGTGATTGCCAAAGATGGTATATACAGCTTCTGGGACGCTGTTTCAAGTGTTGCATACCAAAAGCAGCAGATCTCTGTTCGATGGATTAGCCAGCGTGCCAAAGGAAATGGTTCTGCGGGAAAGTATAATCTCTGCCAAGGTGGGAAGGATAAAACCTCCTGTTACCTGGTGATGAGTTGCTACATCCCGCTGACAGTCATTTTCTGGTTGAACAGGGAGCCGTCTCTGAGCTTGGTGTGGTCGGGCTGAGTGTTTTTAAAATAGTCGTGGTTGGGAGATAATGAAATTGTAGGAAGTGGCTTTTGTAAAGACAGAGTCTTTAATCTCTCGGGTTTATGACATTGGCTTTGGTGAAATGTGTATCTAGCGGGGAAGCGTCTACGCCGTTAAGGAGGTTAGTTTGTGATTCGGGAGGAAGGAGAATCTGTCGGGCACTGGTGGAAAGCTTTCTAAATAGAAAGCGTTATCTGGGCGAAGTTATTCGCTGTCCTAGGTGTTAGCTTTCTGTGTCATGGAAGTTATATTGGGTTCTTAAAGCTGCCGATTAGATTACTGCTCAGCCCGGTGAACGCGTCTCGGTTTGTAGTAGGCAGGCAGGCCAGTGATGGCTAACGGAGACAAGAAACGTGAAGGGCATCTGCTACGTGGTAAATAATGCATATAGCCTGGAACTTCTGTAACCAGAACCCTTCAGAAGGGAGTAGGATGACTGTTCCCCTTTAAATATGTTTTTAAGGAAGAGATTTGGGAGTTACCATCTCCGCTGCTTTACAAAAACTTTACTCCCTCTATAACATGATATAGAGTTAAAATTACGTACGTGAACTATGTGTGTTTGCTGGCACCGATCTCGACAGCGCTGACCTGTGACCAGAATTCCCTTTTAACTTCAGGCACTGGGTTAGATCCTTTTGATTGCTATAGCAAACTCAAATCAGAAGTCACAGAAACAGGGGTTGCCAGAAAGACCCTGACAGTTTAACCGTTGCGGAGAAATGGGCGACGAGAAAGGCAAACTGCCGTATGCTGCATCCACCCATTCCTCTTCTAGAGTCCTGGGTAAGAGCAGTTGTGCAACAACGTGATCTGAGTGGTTAAAATTGAAAAATGTGCTGCTCCAGGAAGAAGAGTGGGAAGGATGAAAATACTCCCTCCGATGACCAAGCTATGTTTAAAAGGAAATTAGAGAAGAGAAATAGGGTAAGCCAAAATACTTGTCAGTCTTGTTTCATTAAAAAAGATAACGAATAAATAGAGGTAGCGGACTGTTAAGTGGTGAGAAGACTTGTCTTCCACAGGCGCTCAGTGCGTTTGCATTGTACTAAATTTTGGCAGAGTTCTACTTTTATGAAACTTTGTCAAAATTCCTATGAACATATAGTTGCACACAAAAAAATCTGCTTCGTATGCGAGCGCACGGATGTGCTTTTGGACATTGGGCGGGAATATAAACGTCACATATAAATATAAATGTCACATTCCTTCTGTTACATCTACCTCAGTTTGTTCTAAGACAGAAGAGGTTTTTATGTATCCCTTAAACACTGCATACCTCTAACCAGAAACTGGAGACATAAACTTGCAAGCCCTTTGATAGATCCGCTTGAATTGCTTGTTTTTATCGGTCCTACCTGTCTTTTTGCTTCCCTCTTGTAAAACAGTTTGGCATTCCCCACGGGATCCGAGCGCACCGGCTGTGAATTGCCGCGTAACCCACGGGAAGCTCAGGCTGTGTATTTGACCCTAGGGTGCCGAAGGTACAGATGTTTAATGGTGTTCTATAGCGCCAAGCGTAAAAACGGGCAGAGGGGTGTTTCCGGTGCGACCTCATCTTAGCAGTGAATTAATTTCGAGTTAGCGCATCAGAACGAGGTGACTTGGGCTTCTGAGTCGCAATAAAATCAAGCGGATTTGCAAACAAGCAAACAACTTCTAAGCCTTTGTGACTTAGAAGACTCTCCTTAAAACAACATAAATACCAAACCTCTTGTTTTTCTGGGTCCCTTCCAGGCAAGGACCAGCAAGCTGGAGACCTGTGGGAAATACGAGAGTGCTAACGTGTGAGAGCGTAAACCCCAGTGTGCTTGGGACGCGGCTGAGCTTTGGGCAGATACCAGCCTGCCAGGCTCGGAGTCGTTCACAGGCCTGCCTACAATTTATTAAACCAGCGGTGATTCTGTTCCGTCTTCAGACAGGGGAAGGAGGTTTGAGACTTTGTCGTTGGGTGGGTAGCAAGCTTTTAGATCTACCCTAGAACAAGCAGCTTTTACTTTGGGGAGGCTGCCTGCGCCCTGCTCTGAGGAAACGGCAATACTCCCCTTTTCAGCTTGCCCCCGGGGTAGCTGTCAATAATACTTGGTTAAAGCCGGCAGTCGCTTGGGTTCTGACAGTGATCCAGCAGATGAATAAGTACATCCTGAGCTGGATTCGGCATTGGAGTTTGAGGAAGTTACATTTAAAGAGACAGCAATTGAGATGCTTGGAAGAGCAAAACTCTTTTCATCTGCTTTGAGCGAGCTGCGGGGCTGGAGTTGTTCGAGAGCTGGGGGGAAAAGAGTTTATGAAAGTGCCCTTTGTGCTATCAGGAGCGTGACAAATGGACTCTTTGGGGATCTGTGGATAGCTCTGGGATGTTTATTCTTGCTGGAATAGATTTGTTGAGTAAATCGGACTTTTAACTTGAAGCTAGTTTGCGTGGGTATTTTCTTTATTCTGCGCTGTACGTGCATAATGCTGTTAATGCAAGCGTATGTCTGCCTGAACAAACACACAGGGCATGTGTTTCACGGTGGTGGGGATCGTTGCGATGCTTCTGGATAGAACTACGTTCCTTTGCTTTCAAGCTAATGCTTTGTTTTGTGTATTTCTAAAGAGAAGTCGGAGGAAAAAAAAATCACTAAAAATCGCCAGGTGCAGCATCTGTCTTAGTTTTGAAGTTTAAAGACAGAAGAAACTAAAATTATTTTTCTGATTTTGGTAAGAAATGGAAAAGTTTGCCCACTATTTTAAGAGCACGAGTCTAGCTGGGAGTTGATAGTCTACTCCCAGGGCCCAGAAATAGGCTCCGCAGGCTGCTCCCTTTGTGCAGCCGTGTTGATCCTGCCTGCGAGATCTCGCTCTGCTTTCCAATAACACCACACATTTTTTGCCTCCTGCGGCAGCGATCGCTCGACGGAGAATTCCGTAGGGCGAGATGCTAAGCGCTCTTACGCTGCTCGCTTGTTTGGGTGCGTGCGTTTAAGCTAAGGTGCCTGGCAGCTTGATCCAAAGTTCATCACAAAACGAAGCGGATGTAAGAGTGTGCCCATAACGGATCTGTTTAAAAAAAAAAAAAAAGTCTCCAATGCTGCGGACTATTTAATTGACTATTTGAAGCATCGATACAAGCTTTAAAGAATGGTAACAATGCGTGTGAAAATCAATGGGTTTATAGTTTAGAAGCAACATATAGTGAAGCGCAATATCCTAATATAAAATGCATCCAAAATTTGGGCTGAAATGCGAAGCATAATGCTGCTGTACCCTGTTGATGATTTCGAATAAAAGGTAGAATTCCTACCGAGCTTCAGAAAAAAAAGTGCCCTCTGTGTTCAGTCATTTCTTCTTTTCTGTTTTATCCTTTTCCCTCCTCCTTCCAGTGAAAGGGGTGCGGGTCCCTTACCTCACACACTGGATTTGTTTGAAAAGATGTCAAGCTAAAAGATTAAATAAAAAAAGGTCGCTGATTATTTTTCTCTTCCTTGCAGCAAGAGTAGAAAATCTGCACGGCAAGCAGAGACTGCCTGTCTAACAAGGAGTTTTGTCACGGGCTCTTAACCCCCGGGCTTCCAGCCTGTCTGCTTTTACACGAATGCTTCTTTAGCGTGACTCCAGACTCTCGCAGACCCCTGGAAGTCCTCTCTCCCCCTCCATTGGAGTTTCTGGCCACCTTTGAGGAGGCCTGGCCTTCTGGTCTCCTTCAGGTTGACTGCAAATGTCTATGGAATTGCGTGAGAATTCACGGCTTGTAGTTCTCTTCAAGCTATTAAATAAGTAGCCAGCCTGCTTTTGGCTCTTGCGTGTTCCCTTTGTGTGAAATTAAAACTACAAGTGGATTCCTCAGTGATGTCTTTGACCTTAATGATGAGAATTTCTTCTTGAAAACAGGATACAAGATGCAAGCTAGAGTCTTAAAAGTTGTAATTTTCCTTGTGTTCTTCCCTTGCCGTTTCATCAGGCAAAGCTGCCGTTCAGCAAGCAGTGATTAAACAAACCCAGTGCGGCTAACTCCTAGTAAGCTAATAATATGATAAATTCTCTCCGAGTTGTTTAAACTGATCTCATTTCCATACCCTTCTGCACAGATCTACGTCGCTGCATCAGCAGTAATCTGGTGATTTCTCCTAGCACCCACCGGCGGAGGACTGCTGGTAGGGTTATTGTGGGAATCCCGGCTGTGCCCCTTGGCGTGGAGTTTGTGCTTAACGTGTGTTATGTGTCTGTCTTAAATGCCTGCTGCTTCGTAAGAAGTTTTGCAAGCTCCTTCCTGTAGATTGTGCTGCTGTGTGCATCTCCTTTTTTTTTTCTTTTTTCTTTTTTTTTTTTTTTTTTTTCTGTGTCTTCCTCCGAGTGAGAATGTCCTTGTGCCCTGCGGGGGTACTAGCTGGGAAAGCTGTCGGGCCCAGTGCTGAAGGGTGTCTGTCAGTCCCTCTTCCTCAGCCCGCTGGTTTCTGTCGGTGAGTAAGCACCGATGATCCGTTTCAGGAGTTTGTTCTCCCGCCGTTGCTGGTGGGATAGCTTCTTCGATACACTTTGGTGCTCCGTGACGTGCGAGACGGGAGGATTTGCTTGGAGCAGCTAAACACCGAGTGTCATCTTATTGAAGAGCTTATAAGTCTTTGCTGAATGAGAGCGGGGGCGCGCTGATACTGAAATCGATTGCATGAGATGCTCCTCTTCTTGTCAAGACACGGTAAGGTAATTTTAAACAGTATTTACAGTTACTAGGAGCAATTAGCTAATCGATAAATGTGAGAAGGCTACCTTAAATGAATAGGTGCTCTAAGCATTTGCCATGTCTTTTTTTTTCCTCTGTAGCATCTGTTTCTTCTTTGTAATTTGTTGGTATGATTACCAGCACAGACCTCGGAGATTCTGAGTTTAGATCCAGGCAGGCTTGTAGACCGAGTCCTTATTCTTTCTTGAAGAACAACAAATGTGCAGATAAAATGGTGAATCCCTTAGGTGCCACCTTAAATAAAACTGAACTGGGTAATAGGAAGAACCGGGGAAATTCAGGACCTTGCTATTACGGTTTCATTGCAGTAAGTACAGTAGAAATGGTGAGGCTGGTATGGAAAAAAGAAAAAGCTCCAGTGCCTTTCGACCCTGAAAGGTTTCTGTTCAGATCTGTTACACTGCTCCGTGTCTGTTAGAAGTTGGAATTTACACAGCTCTGCAGCTTTTAGAAAAAAGAATGAAATTTAATAGTATGTCATGACTTGTCTTTTCGGCACAGATCTGTGTAATGGTGCTTGCTGGTGCTTACAGCCATAGATCCAGCCTTGATGTATTTTTGGAATATACATTCCAGCTCAAAAGTCTGAGCTTCTGGAGGCTTGTCTTTTCCCCGTGTGATCTGCCAAATGATCTTGCAAAATTGTGCTGTTTTCCCTCATGGGAAATGAGCTATTTCACCTCCCATAAAATAAGAGCAAGTCAGATGCTGCTTGTGAGTTTGCAGCGTCTCAGCCAGCCTATGACTGTCCTGAATAAAGCGAATCCTACCTTCTCGTGTTGTCTCGTGCGCGGTATTTCTTGGGCATATCAGGACCCCTTAAAAGCGTTCTTCATCAAAATTCAACCTAGTGCTGTCTAATAACTTCCCTTACTCTTGGCTGGTGTTTGTCGGCGTCCAAAATGTGTGTTCTTTCCCTTTTGAAACACGGCTCAGATTTCGGTGTTTGAAAATTCAGATGTGAGAAGTAGTAAACGAAACGAGCTCGGCGCGCCTCTCCATCGCTAACGGGTTCTGGAACAGTAAGTGGGCCACTTTGTCACTTGTCTGCTGAACAAGACCTCTTTTAAAAGTGCACCGGCCAGTCTTCAAGCCCTTCGGCCTCAGAGCCTCTGGAAATGTCAGAGTTTTTTCTAGCCCAGTGGTCTGTCTCTTGTTCCAGGATATCCCTGCGAAGGCGACGGGTCCTTCCCTTTCAGCAGTT